CCCAAAGGCAGCTTCAGGCACCAAGGAACACCCTAATTTAGTCCCATCTATCACCAACAAGCATCTGTGAAGAGGACAACGGTGCCCTCATCTGGTTCTGGCTGCACAGAGGCAAAGCCCAGCGAATGCCTGGCTGTGGAACCCCTTATAAGCACTAACTTATAGGTGTGTTCTGTGAACTTTTTTCTTTCCAATCAAGACTGGCCATTGCATTGACTCCTTCTCCCCCCGCCCCCGCCAAAAAAAGACTGAGATTAGTTCAGTGAAACTATAGAGCAATCTATCAATCAACTCAGCTTCTGGACTATAAAATGAATCTGAAATTTCAAAGGCAGACCCGAAAGGAAGCAGACTATGGCACCGCAAAATACGCTTCTTTGGCATAAGGATTATTTTGAGCTGATCATTTTTAAGAAACAGGATATACAGCAAAAGCTCTGGAAATCTAGTGAAAGCTCTTTTATATGGGAAATCTCCATTAGTAAGGGTATTTTCCTTACCAGAAAGACAAAGATGACTCTACTTCATAACAACCTTACTCCTGTTTAGCTGAAGAAGGTACTCAAGTGAGAGCCTGGCCTATTTGGGAAGTTACTCAGTTCTTTTGGGTATCTCACGTATACAGGAGGCATACATGTTATTAAACTTCTGGTTTTTTCCTGTTTTAAAAAAAAAAAGAAATGTTCTGGCAGGATTTCTAGGAAATAGTGACTGTTATTTTGTTTTTAAAGTGTTTTCTGAACAGTAGTCAGTAAGTGCAGTCATTTAACACAAACCACTTCCCATTTGGCATTTAGCTTTGGGCCACCAGCAGCTTGCAGATCAAGGGCTTGGACACCTTGGTTATGCAAATTAAAAGTGTTAGAGAGTTCAGTTATTTGTTCCTAAGAATCAAAATGAGGTCTTTGATTCTGTAAACAATCTTCCTTTTTTCTCCAACCATTGAGGGGTCTTAAAAGTTACTAAGGACATAAAATAATAAACTTTGTTTTAATGTACTTAAAATTTGAGATAGCTATAAAGATTCACTGTTATAGCAACCTTCAACAAAACTATTATGCAGAGGAAGAAAGTATCCTCTGTGTATTTCAAGCCAAAAAAGAAAATTTCAAGTACATATTTTCACAACTGAGTGCCTTAAGGATTAGATTTATCTTTCTCATTTTATTTTCTTTACTACAATTTCCTTAATCTCTAATATTTTTAATTCTAGTGAATAAATTCTGACTCACAATATTATACATGCTACTGGAAAATTCACATTCAGAGATTCATATACACTCCAAGCATTTAAAAGAACCTAAGCCTTTTCATTAAAAATACTATCCACCTAATTATCTTTTGTGTGTGAAAAGCATCTAAACATTTTCATCTGTGTATACAGCTGTACTTGAAAGGGTAATTGATCAAAAAATTTTTCTACTGGATACTTTTCATTTGTCTTTCTAGCACTTGTTCTGATAATGTCTTCTCACGTGTGCTGACGATCTGCATTCTCACCTGCCTGCTGTCTCGGTAATATCCTGCTATATAGCATCTTTACCTTGTGACCTCACTCTGTTTACTGTTATTTACCAAGAGTCATATCTAAAAGCTATGCTTCTGTTCACATTGCTCAAAACCGACCTGCTTGACCCCAGTAAATAGCATCTATAGGCGTGCTTCCTAGGCAAGTATTAAAATTAAAACCATTAACGCAATCTAAGAATATGGATAACTGGAACAGGCCCTCTTAAAGCTCTTCTAATGCTTATTTTATGAACCTGCTATAGTTACATTAAAAAAACAGGATGTTAAGCAATCTGCTATGCAAAGAAAGGACTTATGATGGAATAATGATCATCAACAACTTTTAAAACCATATTAATAAAGACTGGTGTTTCAGTTAGAAATAAGGCATTTCCTTATAGATTTGGAAGACTGAAAAAGAACAGTATTCTAGGGCCTGCACCACGCAAGCAATCCCATATGGCATAAATACAATAGAAATTAACTTCTTAACCTAAAAAATAATACACAGTAATAAAGTAAAAATTGATAAATCACAAAATTAGGTAATTTAATATTTAGGCTATAATGCGCATTTTACTAAAAATTTGATTCATATGAAGAGTTAAAGGCTATATGATATGCATATTACATAAACTTGATTAATATGAAAGTTTTAAAATTCTCTTCTCTGTCATTCTGAAATCTCTCTGAATGTTACTGTCAGCATCATGAAACACTTAGTGCTAGTTATCTTGAAATTAAGTACAACCAACCCAAATCTGGGAGTAAACGCCAAGTATTTTCTCAGATCCGTACTGTGATATTTTTCTCAAATAGAATGAAGCGTGTCACATATAACCCACCCTTTTGTTTGGCTAATCCTGCTGACTTATACTTACTGTTATTACTTATTCTAATACAGAAAACCCAAAGATCTGTAATAAGTGGTACTGAAAAATTAGAAAAACTTTCATTAGAAATAATTTAAATACCAGAACTGGAGTGGATACAGAAATGGTCATAAAGAGCACAGAGTAGTTGATAGCAGTCTTAGGAAGTGCTTCTTAAAACATTGAAAGATATGTTTACTATGATGAAAGGCTTTCTCTGCATATCCCTAAATCAGGGTGTGCGCCCCACTTCCTTGGTTAGGTGACAATACAAAAGAAAATAACTTCGGAATATTTATTACGTCGGTATTTCAGTTTTGTAGAAACATGCTAAACGCACGATGAAGAAAATAACACAGTCTCAATAAAGTGACCACGTAATGCCACCCCATGGAGAATGGCTCCCCAGGTATAGAACTGTAGGTATTTCCTTATGTCTACTCCATAATAAAACTATTTAAATAAAATTTAAACATCAGAAGTTATAGTTGTGATAAAAATTTCACTTGACTTTGAAGCAGAAGTCTTGAGTCATGAGAAAGCACTCTTCCACAGAAAGTTATAGTATTACTGGCAGCATATACATAGGTGACGTGAAACAATCACTATTTCCCAAAGTAAGGAGCCATGGACGCATCGAATGATTTATATAAAGACTACATAACTTAATATACTGCAATATTACAGAATTGTAGAAATCTAAGAAAACCTTTATCCTCATTTCTTAAGAATATTCATTTGAAGAAACATTTTGGCATTAATTGGTACGATAATTACTTACCTATTTCTTGTGCAGAACCAACTGAACAGGTGCAGGTTAATTTCTCTTTATGTATAACCAGAATAAAAATTTAAACACTGCAAATCCTCAGTGAATAATAATTCTCTTGCAAACTCAGAGTTTTATAATAAGGTAGTCATCCCACTCTAAAAACTTCAGAATGTTTATATGGGATTACTCTCCCTAAAACTAAAAAGTGAAACATTAAGAAAGAAAAATTTAAAGCAATCTAGTTAATACCTTTGTTTTTAAAAACAAACAAAATGTTATAAACCTTTAAAAATCCACTTTTCAGCACTTAAGTTTCCGAAATCAAGCATATTATACGATGTGCTACTTGTGACTTGTAAAGTAGCAGCATGGGGGATCTCTTAATTGCATTATGTACACAGGTCCTTGAGGAGTCTACAAATAAAAATCATATTCAACTTTCATCACGATATCAGAAATCTTTTAAAATCTAATATACTATCATTTTAGATGTTTTCTGCATTTGGTTACCACTAAAATGCTTTAAAGATAATGTAAAAAGCATTTCTTCCTTTTTCTTCCTTCCCACCAAAAAATTTCAAACTTTATGTATGAGGCATTTTCTTATATAATTTGCATTTCAAAGCCAGCTCCAAAAAATAGATAATCCAAAGCCTTAAGTACAAGTTTAAAAAAAAATAGCGTATACCACTGAAAATGAAGTAAGAAACTATTTTCTTTTTAACTGAAATACTAAGTATTTTAAACTTTGTATAAATAACACACACAGACTGCCCCTCTACCATACCAAGCGTCTAAAGAGGAGTAGCGCTAAAACAAAGGATGACAACAACCAACACTTACATGTATACTCTCATTCTTCTTAGACACATACATTATGAATTTTCTACTGGCATTCTTGAATAAAGTTGACAAGCATACTTTTTCACCAATTTATTCTCATTTCTCCCTTGTATATAAGAATCTCTAACAAAAGGAAATGTCTTCAAGGATTTCTGAAATCCCTAAAATATTCTTTAGCAAAAAAAAAAAAAAAAAAAAAAAAAAAAAAAAAAAATCCTAACCTATCAGGCATCTCAATAAGCATATACATTTAAAAAACAATCTATTTTATGGCTTATGCTTCAATTTAATGCATGACCAAAGTCCCAGGGATTGAAGAATCTTATTAGCAGCCAAGAGCTAAATGGATGACAATATTCCTCACATTGTAATCTCAAAATTTTTAAAGAAAACTATTCACTATAGTCTTAGAAAAACTTGGAGATAATTCTATTTTAAAAACATACTTACCACAAACAAATACAAGGGAGACAAATAAGAAAATAGATTGTGTTGTATCTTTGTAAACTTGTTCCATTTCAAAATGTATTCTTTAGGGTCGGGGAAATTTCCTATACAAGTGAAACTAAATATTTGTTCCCTTTGCTTTGAAAAATATTTACAGTACATAGAACTACAAGCTAAAAGTGTACATCTGCTTATATTGCTGGCCAGTGATATAAATGAACAAGAACACAAGGTGCTTATTCAATTATCTGAGCATTATAATTTGTATAGTGATGTTATTGTAGGTCAACTATGGAAAAATTAGAAAACATTAATGAACACCAGCCCTTGTGTAAAACACCACACAAGATGCCAAGGTATTATACATTCACTGTGGTAAAAACTGTACATATGTATTCTGTGCATCTTCAGCATTGCAAAATTTACATTACAATTTTTTCATCTTTCAAAATTCTGAGTTCAAAAAAGTCTATTTTTTTCTTTTGCCAGAGAAAAGTGATGTTAACTGATTGACTGGGTCTGTGAAACTGCTTATAAAATTCTTTGCTAAGGTCTTTTCATCAATGTCTTTTACTGATGTCCTCGTGAAGAAAAACTAAATTTTCCAAGTTTTGAACAGATATTTCCACATCTTTGCTGGCTAGCATCATGATGTACATAATAATTGTATATGTAATAATAGTCCACAGTAATGTGAAATACAAAACTTTGTTCTGTTAAGTCTATTTTGGTCTCAGAGCGAAGTTCATTTCTTTCATCCAGCCATGTTGTCCCTTATTTGATCAACTCGAAGAGCTAGGTCTCTAAAAGAGGGACGCTGATTTACATTATTGTTCCAGCATTCAGTCATAATCAAATAAATCTATAAAAGAGAACATAAACCAAAATTATAATGAACACAAGGTGCCATCTTTTAATTGATGAAGACATGAACGGAGAACTAACTTAATTTTCCTATGTAGGCTTATGTCATGGCTATGCCTAGATCCACAGTCATATGATTATCCAAAAGCTTAGCAAATTAAATGTCATCAAGTGACGTGAAATCCTTGTGAAAAGGGAATGAAAACATCTGATGAATGTGGATAAAAAATGTTTTGTGGGGGGCGCCTGGGTGGCTCAGTCAGTTAAGCATCCAACTCTTGATTTTGGTGTGGGTTATGATCCCGGGGTGTGGGACTGAGGCTGACTTCAGGCTCCAGGCTGAGTGCAGCCTGCTTAAGATTCCCTCTCCCTCTCCCTCTGCCCCTCCGCCTCTTGAAAACACGGGCTCTTCTCTCTCAAAAAAAAAAAAAAAAAAATGTTTGTTTGTTTTTTTGTTACCTCATCTGGGCATCCATCTGGTCTTGGTAATCTTCCATTATTCTTTAGGAGTTCTATCAAATGAAACACAATCATCTGTCCTTGTTTGTCATTGCCAATCATACGCATAAATTCCTGCAATATAAATCCACTTTTCAATAAGTTTTTTTTTTTGGTATATTTAATTTGAACCAGAATTCTTTCTCAACTTCTAGTAAATGTGAAAAATTCTGTATATGTATGTTTTCCTATATGCTTGAAACCTTTTAAAAACAGACTATTTTGAAGATCAAACCTTCCTTTTAGTCATATTTCAGAAAAGACAGTGCCATTTCCATAACTATAATATATTTGACACAAATTCCCTGAGAAGAGCCCAAAAGAAGTGAACTAAAAGATGTTTACTTTGGTTTTTTGATAGTTGTCTTAACACATCATATTATATTTCAGCTGAAATAAAATTTAGATTGTAAAAGAGAACATAATAAAAAGAACACAGAATGAATATTTAAGCATAAATGCAATGGAGATAAAATGCTTGTATGTACAAAATTCCTAAAATTAAAGTCTGAACTATGAGCTAGAGAAACATTTACAACAAACGCATCGCTTATTGAAATACAGAGAATTCTTACAAGCTGGTAAGAAAAATTACTAACATAATAAAGGGCAAAAGCACATGAGATAACGCACACACACATATACTGATTTCAAATACCCAAAAACTATGTACTCAATCACACTAAAGGGAGAAATACAAATTAAAATCAAATAACTATAACTTCTATCAATTTGACAAAACTGCATAAAATACTAGCAAATGATAAAATGTATGCTCTTATGCACTGTTATTCGGAGTACAATCTGGTATAGCTTTTCTGAAAAACATTTCGAAATAATCAAAAACGTTTGAAAGAGTTCCTAATCTTTTACTTATAATTACACTTTTATTCTAAGGTGATAAGAGATAAATATTTATGTATGACAATGTTCACTATGTTCATTGAAGTATTACTTAAAAGACTGAAAAATGGAAAACTGGAAAAATGGAAAGGAACTATAGCATGGATATTTACTTGTATTAGTAAATATTTACCACAAATACAATTTCGAACTTTTGGATAGCATTTTATTGTAAGGATATAGTTTCTGATATTTTCCTTTTTTAATTATCCTTTATTAAAAAAATATAGAATAGACAGGGAAAACTATTTTTAAACGTTTAACTTTTTCAATAACTTCTGGAATGAATCAATTAATTAGGTTTACTAAAAACCTTTTGAAAATGCAAGTTAATTTAATGAACAAGTTTAGGGTTATTTTGTTGGATGTTGTCTTCAAATCACCAATATGAGGGTATAAAATGAGTCCTAAGCTTACTATTATTCTCTGGGAGAAGCTTTTCCCACGTTAAAAAAAGCCGACGGTACATAAAAAGCACACTGACCGCTGGTGGACTTTTACTCTTCTCGATGTATGTGAAAAGTTCATACAGAACCACTCCAAAGCTCCAAACATCTGAAGCCACAGAAAACTTGCTCTCTGTCAGTGATTCTGGAGCATACCTATAATGTATGGAAAGCATTTGTAAGACGGTTTCTTGAATTATAATAGCACTGTATGGTGACAGATGATAGCTATACCTGTGAGCACAATGTAACACAGACTTGTCGAATCACTACGCTGTACGACGAATGTAATGAACTAGACTTCATTAAAGAAAAAAAAATTATGTGATATGCCAACTCTAAATTTAACCTGAAAATCATTGGATTAAAAAGGGTATAAAGAAAAGTTAACATAAGTAGGCCTAAAGCTGCCATCCTCAAAAACGCTCGCTTGCAAGGTTGACAAGTGACTGGCGCCTGGGAACTAGATTTCTGAAGGGCTGCCACAGCTCCTAAATGGCAAGGGAGGCTCACTGTGCCTGAAATGTTTCTGCAAACAATATGGTTTACAATGAACACCTGTCTTCCTTCCGGCAGTCTGGAATTGTGGTACATGCCAGGCAGAGATTTTGTTGGGGGAATTACATGTGTCCCGTGTGACTTTTCTGGGACAGGACCCTTGAAAGTTTGTGTTTTCCTCCAGGTGTTGCCTCAGATGGCTTTTCCCTTCACTGATTTTACTTTATATCTGTTCTCTGAAATGCATCACAGCCATGAATATGACTGTATTCTGAGTCCTAGGAGTCCTCCTAGTGAATCATCAAGCCTGCGGATGGTCTTGGGAAACTGCCAAAGATAACTAAGTACCTTCCTGGAACTCTAAAGTACCTGTAAAGTACCTTCCAGGTACTGAAATTTAAAAAAAATAAAATAAGCTGCTCTTTGCAAGCTAAAACTTGAAATGAATCGAGATAAGTTTCCAACTGGAAAAAAAAAAAAGCTTCTAAACTGGAACAAGACTAAAAGCTATTAATATAAACACCTGTTAATCAGAAGGGGGTAGGGAGGAGTGCCTGGATGGCACAGTCAGTTGAACATCCAGCTTCTGCTCTGGTCATGATAAGATCAGATCATGATCTCACGGTTCCTGAGATTGAGCCCTGCATCAGGCTCTCTGCTCTTGGCACAGAGCCCGCTTTGGATCCTCTGTCTCCTCTCCCCCTCTCCCCTGCTCACGCTCTCTCTCTCTCTCAAAATAAATAAACTTAAAAAAAAAGTGGTGGGAGAAGGAAGCAAAGTCACTGGGGAAAACAGTGTCATTGTCTACTCAAGTCTCAACACTATCCAAGGGAGGATTTGGGCTAATGGAATGTGAATATCATGGTTCCATTGTTAAGTTATCCTTATTATAGAAGATAGTGACAAAGATCTGTTTTAGACTGGTGAGATTAACTATATGAATTATGCAAATTTAATACCTCCTTCAAAATCCAATTTAAGCTTCCTCACTTCCACAGATCCTTCTCTGACTACTCAAGGTCTTAATGAGCTCATGTTACTCAGTTTCTATAGTATTTATTGTTGATACTATAGAATTAACCATGCTTTTTTATATATATTAAGTTTTTAAAAAATTCTTATCTTTAAATGTATGTTAGTTTTATCCCACAAATGGAATAAAACATTCTTGAAGACATTCTATTTCCCCAACATTTGCAAAACAGTCTCTTCCTTTGGTTTTCATGAAAGCACTGTCTACAATTTCCTCCCTCATCTCCAAGGCTGTTTTCCTCTCTCCCATCACTTACGTAAGGATAAATACAAATCACAAAGGAAAAAAAAATCAATTCTCCCTGTGGAAAATGAGGGAAAAGACTCTTTCTCCTCTTAGAGCATTTACTTTAGAAAATTTATCATTGTAAATTCTTTGTGTCTTTTGAAATATAGGTAATTTTTTTTTTAAAGCTTTTGCTTAAAAGCCTCTTGCCAGCTGTATGATCCAAAAATGTTTCTCAAGAACCTGGGAACCACCTCTCCGGAATGTAATCATCAAAGAAATAGCACCCAACCTCCCAGTTTTTGTGGGACAGTAAGAGTTTAACTTGCGGCAGGTGCCTCCTTCCAAGTTGCAAAACTATCTCCTCCCATAAAAACATGAGAAGTCTATCTGTCCTGTGGGTGATGACAATTAGTTAACACAGACAGTCACTTAAGATAAACTATGTGTGATGTCAACTTCTCTTACTTGAGGACTAGCTATTGTTTATCTTGACAACATGTACGTAATGGGTTGAATCTGCTTGGCCACAGAAGGAGGTGAGATTTCTTTCTTGTCTTTACAGTCTCTTAGCAGATCACTTGTGTGATGCACATGACGCTCAGGGTTAAAGCTTATTCAGTAATAAAACTTTCTTTTCTATCTTTGTGCAGAGGTTTACTGAATTGGGAGGAGATTTCATTTCTAATTATATTTCCCCAACACTTTCCTTCTCCATTTTCTAAGTTAGGGTTTCCCAAGGTTCTATCATCAAACCTTTTTGTCAAAACTTTCCATTAGATAATATTCATCCACCTATATACTAATGTCTCCTAAATTTATAACCATATTTTTGAACTTTCTTTTGTGTTTTGACTTACTGAACATTTCCATATTAAATAAGGTTCTTTAGGCAAAGAGAACTCCATTCCCACTTTTCCAAAACCTGCTGGTTATTTTACTTTCCTTATGCATTGAATGCCATCAACAATCTAGCTTACTTCCCAGGTGGAAATCTTAAGATTTTTTTTTTTTCCTTTGATTTGAGAGCGAGAAAGAGAATGCACTCATATGAATGGGGGAGAGGGGCAGGGGGAGAGTGAAAGAATTTTTTTTTAATGTTTACTTATTCTGAGAGAGAGAGAGAGAGAGAGAGAGAGAGAGAGAGAGAGACTGACCAAGCAGGGGAGGGGCAAAGAGAGAGGGAGAAAGAGAATCCCAAGTAGGCTCTAAGCTGTCAACACAGAGCACAATGCACAGTTCAATCTCATGACCATGAGATCACAACCCGAGCCAATATTAAGAGTCAGACGCTTAACCGACTGAGCCATCCAGGCACACCCCAGGAGAAAGAGAGAATCTTAAGCATGCTCCAGCTCAGCGTGGATCCTCCATGAATCCAAAAGCCTGCTTCAACAGAAAAATATTCTAGCAGGAGCATTTTTCCTTTATTTTTTTTTAATTTTTAATGTTTATTTATTTTTGAGAGAGACAGACAGAGAGACAGAACGTGAGCAAGGTAGGGGCACACAGAGAGAAACAGAACCTAAAATAGGCTCCAGGCCCTGAGCTGTCAGCACAGAGCCTGATGCGGGGCTCAAACTCACAAACTGTGAGATCATGACCCGAGCAGAAGTCGGATGCTTAACCGACTGAGCCATACAGGTGCCCCTCTCCTTCAGTTCTTAACACCAACACTTAGGACAAGCTAAAACTTGTTGTTAGCTTAAAACAAAGAGCACTTTTGAATAACAAAAGCAATGTAGATAGCAAGATTACATGAAATTATAACTGTTTAAAAGATATGATGGCTATATCTCATGTATAAAAACTGTATGAGTTCTCTTTAATACTTCAGATTTAGTGTTCATTACTCAATAAATTAGTTAAAACCTATTTTATCAACTCATACATCTGAAATATTTATACAAAATTTACCCTCATTTCATTATATAAAACATTTAACACTTGCTAATATAAAAATAAAACTATTCCAACGGCCTAATTAGTTTTTGGCAGTATATAGCTTTCCATTCCATTAAATACACAGGAAAATTTTGATCATGATAAAAATGATGTTATTTCTGATTTTTACACTAACTTATTTAATGTTTCTCCAAAGTCAAACATGAGTTTGATACATACGTCTCCCCAACACAATTACTAAAGGAATAATAAACATTTTACCGTATACATTACTTCATATATTCTAATCTTAGCTACGTTTTATTCTGTATTATTTATTGCAAACTAAGTAATAAGAAAGGACTTATCTTATTTTCATAACAGTATAAGATTAATTATACAAGATATGTATCATCCTAAGCTTATCTTGGCTGCCCTTGTGATTTATTTTTCCAGACATGCAGGGAGAAATAGAGGGCCCAAAGCTTACATAATTTGGGGCCTTTCTTTATAACAAAAAATACAAAATTAAGTATGAAACTGAGTATTTAAAAATAGAAAAGAAGGAATCTTGAAAGGAAGGTGCTCTGGTGAATATGCTTTATTATAAACATGGCTCCACACATGTGTCCTGCAATTTATTTTTTTAAATAATATTTCACAGTTTTTTCTTTTTAATGTTTTATTTTATTTTTGAGAGAAGACAGAGCCAGAATGCGAAGCAGGATCCAGGCTCTGAACTGTCAGCACACAGCCTGACGTGGGGCTCGAACTCACGAGCTATGAGATCATGACCTGAGCCGAAGTCGGACGCTCAACAGACTGAGCCACCCAGGAGCCCCTAATATTTCACAGTTTTAACACACTTACTTCTAGAGTTGAACAATAAAGTCAGATTTTTAAAAAACTTTTAGTATACTTCCCAGAAATTGAGGAAAGGAATGACTTTAATGATTTCACTTTTGAAAATCAAGGGGTTTAATTCTTTACTTTCAATAAAATTCAAAAAAAGAATGGATTTAATGAAGTTGCCAGGTAAGAGTTAATTTTAATGGTACTTCATTGTATACTTTTTTGCTCCTTATCTCAGAAAGAGTCACAGAAATGAATATTGTTATAACAAAACTCTTTCCATTCCTATATACTTATTTACACAACTTTTCTCAGTGTTCACATCTACAAAAAGGCAAAATAAACAGAATTTAAGCTGAATCTGGTCCCATGATAGAAATTAATATTCATACAGGGATATATGAACTAATCGGAGGGGAAATAGCTCCATTTATCTTATTAAGAAATACCTCCAGGGGCACCTGGGGCGCTCAGTCGGTTAAGCGTCTGACCTCAGCTCAGGACAGTTCCTGAGTTCAAGCTCCACATAGGGCTCTGTGCTGACAGCTTTCGGAGCCTGGAGCTTGCTTGGGACTCTCTGTCTCCCTCTCTCTCTGCCCCTCCCTCGCTCGTGCTCGCTTGCTTTCTCTCTCTCTCTCTCTCAAAAATAAACATAAAAAAAAGAAGTGCTTCCAATAAAAAACTTTAAACAATTATCCAATTTGTAATTTATTTATATTGCATTGGAACACTGTATCCTGATAATAACTTCAATGATAACCCAACCCAGAAGAAAAATGTGAATACTTCTGAGTTTTGTGGTCACAGGAAATTTAAAAGTTAATTTCAATTTACAGTAGCTCCCCCCCTCATCCACAGTTTTGCTTTCTTGGGTCTCAGTAACTAGTGGTTAACCACAGCCCAGATGCAGATGATCCTAACACCACGTCACAAGGCTTACGCCATCCACCTCACTTCATCTCATCATACAGGCACTTTATAACTCACAAAGAAAGGTGAGTTCAGTACAAAAAGATACTTTGAGAGAAAACAAGAGAGAACAATTTCACATAACTTTATATTGTTATAATTATTCTACATTATTAGTTGAAACAATGAGAGTGAAAACACAAATAACCTCTTAGTGTTATTATGAAAATACCTTTGACTTCCTGGACCCCCTAAAACAAGAACCTGGTGTCCCCACACTTTGAGAATTTCTGTTCTCCACCAAAAGTAGATCTCTCTTCCTAAAATATGAATCTCAACATGATATTCCCTTGGATGAGGCCTGTAATTTGCTACCTACACATGGTCTACTGAATGAGGCTTGAACTCATCAACACGGCGTACCAGGCTCAATCCCTTTCGGGCCGCCATCACTCCCCGTTTGCTCTGGGACTGTGCCACTCACTTCCAAGTCCCTGCCCCTCTAGTTCTGGTCTTCCTCCTCAGGGAACACCTTTGCTCTTCTCTACCTGGTAAACTATTAATCAATAATTGAAATGTCACTTCCTGGTTGTAGTTTTCTCTGATTAATTTAAACCCTCAGGGGAAATATCCACATTCTTATGTTTTCCCATTATATTCTTCATTATTGCACTTATGATATAATGATTGCAATGACTGGCCACACTGCAATGACTGACCACACATTTGATTTTTTTTTTTTTTTTTTTTTAATCTATGAGCTCTGAAAGGGAAGGGATAATGCGTAGTGGACCTGTCGGCTGAATATGCCTGTCACATCAAACATTTCCTTTTTAGTCTGGTTTTCTTAGTAACCAGGCACAGTTGTTTGTTGTTGTTGTTGTTGTTGTTGTTGCTTTTCTGATGCTGACCCTATCTTCATATCCCAAGCTCCTTGTATGGTGTTTGGAACAGTAGAAACTTAATAAATGTTTATCATATTAAGTATGGCCAAACTGCTTAAAATCCATATAACTAATCTTTATGGATTTCTAGTTAATTCCATTTAACTTCTTTAATTTCTCATCCTGGAAGAAAAGAATTAAATTCATGTATCAATGGACATGTCCAAAGCAGATAAGTATAGATGAGTCTTATTTTCTAGTTTCCTTATACTCTAAAAATAATTAGATGATGATATCACCAGGATATTCCTTAAAACTGTTATTATTATGAAAAATTTCAAACATACACAAATAGAGAACAATAGACATTCATTTCCTGCCTTGTTTTATTAGCCACCCCCCTATCTCTACCCCATTGAATTGATATGAAGTGAATTATGGACATGAGAGTATTTCAGTCATAATTATTTCAGTATGCATTTCTAAAAGATAAGGGCTTTTCTTTAAAATACTCACAATGTCATTAAATATTACTCTTCTGTATAGTAAGATTTTATTTTAATACCAGTTAATTAACTTACAGAGTAATACTAGTTTCAAGTGTAAAATATGGTGACTCAACATTTATATGTAACACCCACTGCTCATCACAAGTGCACTCCTTAATCCCCATCACCCATTTAACAACCCCCACATCCCCCTCTGATAACCATTTGTGTGTTCTCTGTATATAAGAATATGTTTCTTGGTTTGTCTCTCTCATTTTTTCTCCCTTTGTTCATTTGTTTTGTTTCTCAAATTTCACATGAATGAAATCATATGGTATATGTTTTTCTCTGAGTTATTTACTTAGCATAATAATCTCTAGCTCCATCCACGTCTTGCAAACGGCAAGATTTCATTGATTTTATGGCTAATACTCCATTGTACATATATACCACATCCTTTTTTATGCACATTAATTTTATTTCCAATGACACTGGGGTGTATAAAGTGAAATGTGAAGTCTCTCCTAATCACATTCCTCAGCAGTAATCAGTATTTCTAGTTTCCATTCTTTTTTTTTTTTTTTTTTTTTTTTTTTTTTCTTTAGAAAGAGAGAGTGTGCCAGCAGGGGAGAGGCAGAGAGAGAGAGAGAGAGAGGATCTCAAGTAGGTTCCACACTCAGCAATAATCCATTTGTTCTAAATCACTTGTGTTTTCTTACCTAATTTCCTTCCAGACTAACAATTTGTAATAGCTGGGATAAGTTGTAAAATTTACAGATACAAAATAAGTGAAGATAACTAACAGATATGGATGGGCAATGAACTTAGCAGTAGCTAACTAAATAATCTATATATTTCTAATAAGTCTGATGAATCTCAAATTTTCATAAATGGACAGTTTTAGTGTTTATATTAGTAATTCTAACTTGCAAGTCAGAAACCCAAAATGTAAATAAAACATAAAAATGCAAATAAAACCAAAACAAAACCCATCCCTTAACAGAAACATCCGATTTAAACAACATAATCTTAATAGTATTATTTTAGCAGATAAATAAACCAGAATTAAAGTCTATTTAGATTTTATCACAAATCAAAACATTTAAATACATTTTCAGCGATTCATCCCTATAAAACAAAATGCACCATTAATGAACTAAGACATAAAAAAAGACCTTGCATCGAAGCACAAATCAATAAAAACAACAATGTACTCCACATAAAAAATCAGGTTTGTATGCTCCTCACAATTCACAATTTTAAGTGAAGATCAAAAATTACCTTTAGCTTTGGGGCACCTAGGTGACTCAGTCGGAGAAGCATCTGACTCTTGGTCTCGGCTCAAGGTCATGATCTCACAGTTTGAGTTGGAGCCCTGCATTGGGCTCTGTACTGACAGCGTGGAGCCTGCTTGGGATTCACTCTCTCCCTCTCTCTGCCCCTCCCTCGCTCACTTTCTGTCTGTATCTCTCAAAATACATAAACTTAAAAAAACTACCTTTAGCTTCAAATTGCTATAAAATGTTCAGTTAATGCTGGATTAAAGCACCATCATGGTTAAGAACGCTTAGGGGAGCCTGGGTGCCTCAGTCAGTTAAGTGTCTGACTTCAGCTCAGGTCAGGATCTCCCGGTTCACGAGTTCCAGCCCCACATTGGGCTCTGTGCTGACAGCACAGAGCCTGAAGCCTGCTTCAGATTCTGTCTCTCTCTCTTTCTCTCTCTCTCTCTTTCTCTCTGCCCCTCCCCCACTCACACTCTCTGTCTGAAAAATAAACACTAAAAAAAATATTAAAAAAAAAAAAAAAGAAAACTTAAAAGCACAAATTCTGAGAACAGACTATCTGGGTTTTGAATCCTAATTCTGCCATTTGTCGGTCTTTTGACCTTGAGCAAGCTATTTAATCTGTCTACACTTCAGATATGCTTAAGATGGACAGAATACATATTCTCCAAGGGTTGTCGTAGAGATTAGATGAGATAATCCATGAAATGCATTTAGCCCAATGTAAGCATGATAAATTTTTGCTATTATTATAAATCTATAAATGATAAACTATGAATAATAGTAAATTTTCACTAAAATATACTCACCAGAATATGGGACTTTCACCAGGTTCTTTCACTTTGTAGTATTCTTTGTCTTGTGGCAAGACTTTGGTTAAACCAAAATCTCCAATTTTAACCCTGTTTTCATTCTCCACCAATATATTCCTTGTTGCCAGATCCCTGTGGATATACCTTTTTGTACCAAGATACTCCATGCCCTATGGATGAAATAACATTTTTATTTCAGCTAAGTTTTACAAAGATAAATAATTTAAATGGTCTTTCCTCTATATGTTTCCTTAATTATCAAAGGAAAACTCTAGAGGACTTTGTAACAATTACTTTAGCATGTTCTCTTTACTTACAACAAATAGGCAGGATATTAAGTACCTTGCATATCTGAGATGTATACTGCAGAAGTTTTTTATGATCTATCCGTTCTTTATGTTTTTGGAGATAATCTCGTAAACTTCCATATGGTAAATATTCCATAATTAATCTTAAATTACGCCGGCCTTTTAACATACAAAGGGGAACACAATATTTTACTTTGTCACATTTTATTGTTAGATAATAGAAAACAAACATACATAAAAATGACTTAAAATATATAAACTCTGAGTCTAAGGTAACAAAACTTGATTATAAATTAAGTGATGTAATAGTTAAGAACACAAGCTTTTTGAATCAAAAAGTTTTGAGTAAATTCCTAGCAGTGCTATTGCTGGGTCATAGGATAGATCTATTTTTAATTTTTTGAGGAACTGAGGAAGGCACCTGTTGGGATGAGCACTGGGTGTTGTATGGAAACCAATCTGACAATAAATTTCATATTTAAAAATTTTTTTTCAACGTTTATTTATTTTTGGGACAGAGAGAGACAGAGCATGAACGGGGGAGGGGCAGAGAGAGGGAGACACAGAATCGGAAACAGGCTCCAGGTTCTGAGCCATCAGCCCAGAGCCTGACGCGGGGCTCGAACTCACGGACCGCGAGATCGTGACCTGGCTGAAGTCGGACGCTTAACCGACTGCGCCACCCAGGCGCCCCAATAAATTTCATATTTAAATAAATAAATAAATAAATAAAGTAAGGAAAAGAAGCTTTAAAATAGTTATGGTTTAATCTTATGTAACCCTTTCTGCAAACCCAAATAGGCTGATGAAAATTTCCTTTCTCCTCATCTGTAATGAGCAAAAAGTATCCAATTTAAAAAATATTTTCATAGAAGGGTGCCTGGTTGGCTCAGTCAGTTAAGCCTCCAACTCTTAATTTTGGCTCAGGCCCTGATCTCACGGTTTGTGAGTTCGAGCCTGTCATCAGGCTCTGCACGGACAGGTCAGAGCATGCTTGAGATACTCTCTTTCTCTCTCTGCCTTCCCCACACCCTCAAAAATAAACAAACATTTAGCCTACAATCACCAAGCACAATCTGCAGTGACATAAACACTTCTCTCCTTGGTCACTGGCATATTAGAAGTCCAGACCTTGAGACATTATAGGTTTCTATTACCCAGGATGCCAAGGACATACCTTGAGTTCAAAATAGGTTTCAATGGGCAACATACCAGCACTGTAGCACACTCCCTTGTACTTGACAATGTTGTCATGCTGCAGGGATTTAAGGATTTCAATTTCTCTTTCAAAGTCTCTCAGGTGCTCCTCAGTACTGTGCTGGAGCTTCTTCACGGCCACCACCTCCCCAGTGTTGTCTTGTAGAGGGTCATACCGGCACATCTCCACACTGCCAAAATTGCCCTAAACGGCACATCACAAGAGGACAGAAATCTCAAGTTTTCCAGAGAAATTACTAATGAAGTTTAATTAGGCGAAATTCCAGTAGCTAGAATTAGCAGACATATCTCTAAGCTTACATTAGGCAACTTTCAGAATAAGAAAAGGAAATAATATTTCAACAGGTAGGTAGTAAATCTATAAATTTGATTTCTTCAAAAGGAATTATAGGCTGAAATATAAACAACTTCAAACAAGCATTTAAACAAATCATGAACATGATTTATTAAGATAAGCCAAGATAATTCCTAAATCTCTATCACTAATTTCCAGGATGATCTTTGCTTCTTCACAATATACCCTTTGATATCACTGTCAGTGAGCTGGATGGAACAAGGAAGGGCCTGTTATGGACTGAGTGTCTGTGTTTCCCCCAAATTCCTATGATAAAGCCCTAACTACCAGTGGGAGTGTACTTGAAGACAGGGCCTGTGAAGAGGTGATCATAAAGTAAGGCCTTATTCCGATATGGCTGGTGCCTTTGTAAGAAGAGGAAAAGACACCAGAGCTCTCTACCACATGAAGACACAGCCAGGAAGGTGGCCATATGGAGGGAGGCCAAGAAGAGAGTATGCAATAGAAACTGAACCCTGCCAGCACCTTAACCTTAGACTTTCAGCCTCCAGAACTATGAGAAATAAATATCTGTTGTTTAAACCCAGTGTATGGTATTTTGTTACAGCAGCCTGAGCAGACTAATACAAGGTTGATTTATTTGCTAAAAGTGGAACTCGCAGTTGAAAGGATATGGACATTTCAAAGGTCCTTCACACACGCTGCAGCAGACACTTTTGAAGGGGTCACCTTCACTAGATTTAATAATTTTATCATATTCCTGCCAACACTAACCATTGTTAATATTTCTAAATCTTTGTCAATTTGACAGGCACAAATCAATCTCACTGTTTAAATTTGGAATGCCTCTACTTTCTTTTGGAAGAAGAAGGTAAAGGCAAACACTGTGTGGGAAGAAAGATTTAGGACAGGAAACCAGAAGAGAATGAAAATGTTTGGAATGGGCAGTCACCACAGAAGAAATCAAATAAGGGAGAATAAAAGAACTATCAATTAAAACAGTCCTAAGTACCAGCTAATGTTGGAAATCAATTTGCAATGGAAACAATAAACATTTATATCTGATTTCTTTCTTAACAGTGTTCGAGAGTTGAAAACACAAATAGAAAAAAATAATTCAGAATTTTATTGTTCCTGCACCAGGAAATGACAGGGAAAGTTAAAACAGACAATCATGGGAGGGAAGGTGACAGCACTGTGGATAGCAGCGGAAGCAGAGTGTAACTGCTTACCAGGAGGTCTACCTCCTCTGGAAAACGAGAGTTGGATCTAGAAGGTGGCTCACAGGCTTCAGGAACAAGAAAGGGTCAAAGACACTGGCAATGACAAAGACACCAAAGGAGGATGTATGTGTTGGGAAGAGTCTAAAGATACAAAGTTATAGTCAAGAGGGAGACTTCAGGGTCTGAATTCCATAAGTAAGATTATTATAAGGGATTACAGAATTCAAAGTGCACTCATTAACATGTTCACAGATTGAGACTGGGAAATTTAAAAAGGTATTCAATGGATGCCCCAAATAATAGGAGGAGTAAGGTGAAGATGAAAACAAGGAGCACCAAAAGTACTTGAAATGTGGATTACCAACCAAGATGTTGGCCAATGATGAGGAGAGACTAACCATATTCACATAGGACTATATATGATGCTGGAGATTCTAACTGTGGAAAAGTAGCAGCAAGGTCCAGATCTGTGTGTCCCAGATCTGCATCAGAGAGTAACAGGTAATAAAGAGGATTTCCAAAAAGCTAGGTTTTAACTGAGGTGACGAGTAAAGAATATAAGTATATGAGGACGTGAGTATAAAAGATCACAAAAATACTCATTTTAGAATTCTGATAGCAGAAGAAAGTTTTCACAATATTTTCTTAACTCTTTTTATGAATATTAAAATATACCATTATTTCTGTTGGTTTAAAAAATATGGAAATAATCTTGAGTACAAATCCCTCCTTTGAATATTTTTACCATGCTGCTAATTGAAAAGAATAAAAGAATGCAGTACACCAAAAATTGTGCTTTTATAAAATGAAAAAGTGATACGCACTTTTGTAGAGATGGTGTTTTAGATTGCTTCAATAAGGCAATACAAATAGCTAGACCACTGAACAATCAATTCTTTCAAATAAGCAAAGACGAAATTAATATTATATTGTCAAATGCAGCTAGAAAATATCTACATTAAAAAACTACCACTAGGGGAGTCTGGGTGGCTCAGTCGGATAAGTGTCCAACTCTTGGTTTCTTCAGGTCACGATCTCAGGGTTCTGGTTCCTTGGCTTTGAGCCTGCCTGGGACTCCGTGCTGTCATTATGGAGCCTGCTTGGGATTCTCTCTCTCCTTACTCTCTGCTCCTCCCCCATTCACTTGCACACACGTGCTCGCTTTCTCTCTCTCTCCTTCTCTCTCAAAATAAACAAATAAATAAATAAACTTTAAAACTGAAAAAAAAAAATGCTACCACTAAGGACCATACCATTTTCCTTTAACTTCCTACAAACTAAATTACTGAGAAATACATACGGTTGTAAATATACTTTGAAAATGTCACCCTTACAGTCTCCTCAATTTACATTATGTTTAAAATAATGTTAAATCCAAAGAACTGTGTAAAAAACTAAAAATGTTATAAAAAACAGGGAGGGGGACAAAAGAGAAGAGACTCATAAATATGG